GGGGGAGAAACGGGACAGAACATGATCTACTGACGTTTGGCTCACTTGTGCGGTTTTACGACTCTTAAATTAATTTGTTTTTTAAAAAAGTAATTAATACTGGGGTAAAATAAAAAGAGTTCATCAATGCCAGGAAAATCAATTTCCTAAATGTTCTAGCCAATGGCTTTTCAGTACATTAAACAAAGTTTCATAAATGTCTCTGCACTCTCGCCTTGGCCTAATATGAAGAAAAAGTCATTTTACTGGAAGTGAGGCTGCTGCCGATATGCCAAAGGCATCAGAGGCTCCCCTTGCCTCTGTGAGGATGGAAGCAGGGAGCGCAGGGTGAAAGCACCAAGCAAGGACGGGCCCGATCCCGGGAGCTCAGAGAATGGGAGAAAGATGGCAAAAGAAAACCACAGGAAGAGGCACCAGGATCAGAGCAAAAGGCCTCTCTATTCCGGCATTTTGCTCCCACAGGGACTAACCGGAGGCCTTGGGGAAGCCCAGAGGATAGACACGGGAGCAACAGCACCCTCCCAATTATACTCCCCAGCAACTCATACAGAGATGCATGTTGGCTGTAATCCTATGGCAATAACACACAGCCCTTAGGACTAACAGCCACGGGTCACCCTATTCTCAGTGGATCTGGCTGATCCCTTTTTAAAGCCATCCTAGATGCCGGGCATCATTACCATGGAGGGTGAGGATTATACCATTTTCAGAAGCAATGCATAGTCTGGAGAAAGGAAACCAATGGCTTTTCAGTACATTAAACAAAGTTTCATAAATGTCTCTGCACTCTCGCCTTGGCCTAATATGAAGAAAAAGTCATTTTACTGGAAGTGAGGCTGCTGCCGATATGCCAAAGGCATCAGAGGCTCCCCTTGCCTCTGTGAGGATGGAAGCAGGGAGCGCAGGGTGAAAGCACCAAGCAAGGACGGGCCCGATCCCGGGAGCTCAGAGAATGGGAGAAAGATGGCAAAAGAAAACCACAGGAAGAGGCACCAGGATCAGAGCAAAAGGCCTCTCTATTCCGGCATTTTGCTCCCACAGGGACTAACCGGAGGCCTTGGGGAAGCCCAGAGGGAAGACACGGGAGCAACAGCACCCTCCCAATCATACTCCCCAAATGTACATATTTTTTTCAAACACATTTTTGCGGTCCCGAAAATTGCACCGTGAGTTCGGAAATGTACACCCCCCCCCCCGGCTGCCCCTCCTCACGAGATTTCCCCCCACCTCCTCATATACAGAACCAGATTTGGGGGGGCACCTGATTAAAAGGGATTGGCAGCTGATCGGCAGGGATTGGAGCAGTAACAAAAGCAAAATGCTTTTTCATTCAACATACTACTAGCTTACGAAAATCTACTGTCTGGATGGGTTGATGGCCACTGGCCGAAGCAGCTTTCCAAAGGGCTTTAAGGCCAATAGCCAAAAGGGAGGGTCTACCTGCTGCTATTAGTTGTGCTAGGCTTCATGGAGCTTCTACGAAGAGAGGCAGTCTATCTCTGTACATCTATTTAATGCTTTATTTATTTTCCCCAAATGTACATATTTTTTTCAAACGCATTTTTGCGGTCCCGAAAATTGCACCGCGAGTTCGGAAATGTATAGTTTGGTTAAAAACGGCATCCGGGCCTCTCTTGGTTTCTGGCAAGTGCAAATTGGGTCACTTCCCGTTACAAGGCAAACCCCAACGAATTGGGAAGAAATCAGGACAAGGCCGTATTGGATGATCCTCAAAACAATACCAGTGCAGGAATAGGCGATACTTTTATTGGACCACTAAGAGAAAAAAAAAGAAACAATAAAGCGAGCTTTTGATGATCGTTCCTCTTCCTCGATCTGTAGCCCCAGTGAATTGGCCACCCAGTTCGAGGCAGATCTTTGTTCTGACCCAGCAGCAAAGCAGGTCTCAGGTCCCGCATTCGTAAAGGGTTTTGCTGATGTTTGCACCAGAGCAGATTAACAGAATGAACCGTCATCCGAGAACTGTGAAGCACGGAGGGACCCTCTGGACCATTGAGTCTAAACCCTGTCAAGGAGGCCCAGTGGGGGGAATCGAACTCCCAACCTCTGGCTCCAGAGCCAGCGAACTCAACCCCTGAGCTGTCCAGCAGTTCGTTAGTACTGTACGGAGGGTGAAGTATTTATTGGTTGTGGCCAAGAGGCATCAGATTCTGGTGAGAGAGCCTGAGTAAAGGCTCCCTCCCACAACAGGATCATAGATAAGTGCAAGAAGCTGTGGTTAAGCCCCCTCCCCTGCCCGAATCTACCAGAGGCTACATTTGTGCTGCTGCCATGCTGGCCAAACGGGGTGGCAAACCTGCAGTCTCTTTGAACACCACCAGAAAGGGCTCGTTTTCAAGGCGTTTTCAGTTTTGCTGCTCAGCTTCACCAGAAAAGTCCCTTAAGAATGAGTTTATGGGGGTGGGGGGGTGGTTTGAGCTCTTTCAGACTATTTCCCTCCCTGGTTTCCTGCCCAGTTTTGGCCATGGGGCAGGAGCTGTGAGAATGCAGCCAGGGAGGGATTTTGGGGGGTGGGCAGATGGCTCCCCCAGATCTACAGAAGCTGCCCATCTCTGCCAGAGGACGAGGGCAAAGAGAGAGAGAGAGAGAGCGAGCATCTTTTCTTGGGCTGCTAACTCCTCAAACCCGGTCGTTTATTTTATGTTACTTAGATGAAGGGGGGAAGGAAAGAAAAAAGAGCAGAATTTTATCCTGGTCCAGAAATGGCCCCCTGAGGAGCCCTCTGAGGCAGTTTGCCTGGTCACCAAGAAGGACAGCCTGGAGGTCGCTTTATATCAGAGCAAAAGAGGAGATAAAGATCGTTCCGATGCGCCAGCCCGGCCTCCTTCAGGCTTCAGGCTGACACGGCGTTCCTTCTCTTGGGCCGCCTCTGGCTCCCGCCTCCCCCCCNNNACAGAGCGAGGATTTACTGTGGGCAAGAGAGTTCTTCAAGCCTCCCTCCTCATCTCCGCTAGCCATTTATTCTCCGCTCTCTGCGGAAGCTTCGGCTTGTCCGAGGCAAAGGGGGAAAAGATCGGGCACAGGGCGGCAGTGGGGACCGGGGGGGGGGGAGACGGGGACTCTGAAGTCAGTATTCCTGCTCCTTTGTTGTGCTTCAGTCGTTTTTTTTAAATGCATCCCTCCTACAGGAAGATGTGGAAGCTCTCTGAAAATCCCCAGTTCAGTCCTCAGCCTCTCTAGCGAGGAATGGGGAAGAACCTCCACAGGAAGCCTGGGAGAGGACTGCCAGCCAGGGCAGGCAACTCTGAGCCAGAAGGACACACTGGTAGGACTTTGTCTCACGAGGAAGCCTCCTGCATTTTAACGCAAGGGCTGTTGCACCGACAGCGGAGGATCCCCTCTGCAAGTGGAAGGTGCCATGTTTAATCCTCACAATGCCAGAGACGGCTGTCCGTCAGTGCTCATAACAATGGGTTAGAGGGAGCAAAAGAGGTTTCCCACACTCCAACTTACACCTGCTCTTTATTCAGAACAAGGGGACTGGAGCCACATTCAGAAGAACCTTCTGGTAGCGGCAGAGTCCCCGTTCTGCATGCAGAAGACCCCAGGACCAAAATCGAGGGACAGTGTGGGCTGAAACCCTGGACAGCTGTTGCTGCTGCCAGCCAGTGCCGGTTTGATGGAGCCAATGGACTGAGCCAGCATAAGGCTGCTCCCTGCGTTTCCACCAGCACATGTACGGCTGTAGCTCAGTGGCAAGAGGACAAGCTTAGACCGACAGGCAGCCCCCATCCTTGATGCTTGCAGGAAGAGCAAGGAAGGAGTTGGTCAGCATCCTCATTAGTAGTGGGTGGGTTAGATAAGGCAGCCTGTCGAATGTGCTGCTAGACAAAGTGTAGACATGGTCTAGAGGGGCGGGGTATAAATTTAATAAATAAATAAAATAAATAAAGTGGAAGCAGAGCAGAACCTCTTTCTTGGCATGGATAACGTCTATGTTCTTTCTGGAAAGCTGAGAGCGTCTAGAAGGGGCAGGCCATAGCTTAAGGGAGAGTCAAACGGCCCTGGAGCGTTGGGGCAGGGGCATGGAGGAACGGAACGCCCGACATTGGGCAATCGCAAAGGCAAAGAATGGAGGGGCCCTATGGAGCAGAGTCAGCCTCCTTCCTGGTTTGTCTTAAAGCAGGTTCACCATCTTGTTCGGGAATGCCATCTTCCCTTGTCCATGACTACTGGGAGGAACGGAGGTCCCCCTGTGCCACCTATTCCTCTCCAGGCTCCATGTGTTCCACATTTTGTGAGCGCCCACCCATGGAAAAAGTTCTTTCCAGTTTCAGCTCTTTAGTTCGTTGTCCTTCCCCAGGAGAGCCCAACAAAAGCAGTGAATCCTGCCCAGCTCTTAACAATGCCAGTCTAAGACTTCCCTGTTCTTGCTAAATTCATCTTTCCCCACTTCTGCCTTTCCTTTTCCCTCAGACTGTAAAGACAGCCCTTTGGCTTTCTGCTCCTCGCAAGCCACCCTCCGTCCCCAGGGCCCGGGACAGTGAAACCCCCTCCATGCCAAGAGAACATCGCAAAGAAGGGAACAGAACGGAGACGATCCGGAAGGGAAAGGAAGCGACAGCTGGTTTTAAGAGCTCCAGTGGAAAGAAAAGGAGACCTTAGAGAGATTTTTGTACAGGTGTCCTTGCCCAGAGGAATCCCATTGTGAGGCCGTGCAAAGGCTCAGCACCCCAAGCAATAACAAACACAGGATTCCTCGGTGCAGCGTTCTAGGTTTGAAGCACTTTGGAGACCCTCTGGGCTTTGGGATCTCTTGCAGAATTTTTTTCCCCAGTGTTGTCCTCATCCTTGGTGGACAGGAGCAAAAGGAACCCCCTCCTTGCTCCAATCCTGCCACCTGTCCATTTGTGGGCATTGCCAAAGAGCAGAGATCCCCCCGCGCGTGCGCGCATACACTCAGAGCGGCTCTCCTGTCACAAAGGAATTAGCAAAAGGGGGGAAAGAAAGGAAAAGGAAAAGCACAGGCGCGGACACACATCACCCAAAGGGGGCTAAAAATAGCCCAGAGCAACATACTATATATGGAAGGGAAAGCAAAACAGCCCAAATGGAGCATCAGCCCTCAATGCGGGGGACAGGGAGGGGGGCCCTCACAAAGACAGATTTTCCCCCCTCCTCCTTCTATTCTGAATGGAAAAATGGATGAAGAAGAATTGGGAGTTGGATGTGGCCCCAAAGGGAACCAGGGAAAGGGTTAAAGTTGAGCGAAATAAATGGCATTTGTGGCATCTCAGGGCCCAGGTTGTTGTGCTTCAAACCTCTGAGAATCTCCAGTCTCGGTCATGGACAGAATCCATCGTCGCTCCTCAAAACAGCGCCCAGCTGAGAAGCTGGGGGCTCTGAACATGTTCCCCACTAAGGGAAAATGACATGGAAAGGAGGAGTCTGTTTCCTGCTGGGAGCCGTCTGGAAGCGCATCGGAGCTCCCTGATCTGGATGATGGTGTTTTTTAAAAATTGCTCAGAGGTGTACATCGTTCCCACCATGGCAAAAATGTGGCAGAGGTTCCCCCACCCTGCCCCGCTATTATCCAGAGCCATCGATACGCGGCACCAATTCGCCTTCTTTCAAAAGCAGCTGACAAACTGGGAAACAAGGGCAAAGCGCCTTCCAAACTGAAAGAAACCAAACAGCCAAATGAAATACTGTAGCAATGAAACCCGTCTCAGGGTCCAAGGAAGGGGAAGAGAGAGAAAGAGAGAGGAGAAAATGGAGCAATCCATTATGTGTCTGGAAGGTAGAAGGCACCCCAGAAGATGCTAGAGCAACTGTGGAGCAAGGGGGGAGGGAGATGTTCTGATCAACTCCTCTGCCTGGGAGGAAGGGAACAACATACAGTATATATATATATATTCTTCTGCCCTGCTTTTCCCATACAAGGGGGGTCATTCAGCTCAGATCTGGGCCCAGCTACCCTGAAGTGGTAGCAAGAAGCAACCCGCCATCCCTACTTGATATTGGGACGCCACTTTTCTACAACAAACCTGAGCCCAACGTGGGATTCCCACCAAGGGCATAAACGATGACAAAGCAGCGAAAAGACAGTTCAGTCACGTTATGGATCGAGGTCTCCGAAGGGCCCCTTCACCCCAGGGTCTTGGGTCTCACTTGTTTATCTCCCTTCCCCATCTCTGCTGGCCCTCAACCTGCTCCATTTCCCAAGACATTAATTTGTGTGTCCTGCTCCAAGCCTAACCCTTTCCCTGCTAACACCCAGCCAGTCTTACAGATGGCAAGCTTGACAAGGGTCTCGCTTCCAGATGGGTGGCGGATCCACTGAATTAAATCCAGTCTTTAGTCTTAACTAGCTGGGTGGACATCTTGGAGGAAAGGGCTGGACATGAGGTGAACAAGCAGATACAACAACCAATCAAATAATCAACCAGGCATCAAAAATCCAAGATAATTTACGACCACCTATTCATGTCACTATTTCAGGACTGCCGGCTTCGTGTGCTGTTTGGAAAACCTAAGGCTGGCCCTTCTGGATCACTACCTATCACTGAACAGTCCCACTGTCTTTGCCTACATCTTCCTGATCCTGAGTTCACGGGGTTGTGGTCCTGAGTTGTTCTATGCCCTCCTATGGAAGACAGCATCCTAAGGGGGGAGGGAAAGAAGGGTGTTGGAGGAAGGGAAGGTTCCCTTTTCTGCCCTCAGAGCTACCCTCTCCCGATCCATTCAGCCCCTCTGAATTTCCCTTCCTGTGTCATGGGCCATCCCTCCCTTTTAGAATGGGGACCACTGTCAGTTTTGACTCGGGGAAGGCAGCGCAATGCAGAAATCAGCAGAGCCATATGGTACTCTTTAACTCTCTACAGGACGGCTGTCCTCTCTGCGCTCCCTTTGGCGCCCCCCCCATTTCCCATAAGAGTATTCTCTTGGGGGTACCCGCAGACATGCCGATAAAAAAAACTGGGAGCCGGGAAAGAAGGTGATGCCCAGGGGAAGGGAAATTAAAATAAAACTTGAGCATGTCCAAGCTCCATCACCTTGCGCTGGCGACAGACAAGGGCTTTTCCTATCAAAGAAAACTGAAGGTCACACTTTTCCTCATTGATCTTGCAATGTTTGTTAATTACTCTGTCACTGATGTGGCGAAGGATAATTAAACAGCTCTGTTTATATCTTATATGCATAATTATGTGCGTTGCCACTGAACTCGGGAAGGCTGGAGAAGAGGGAAGGGGGCAGATGAGCGGAGATGAGTTTCGGTGGTGTTATTAATGGGGAGCGCAGAGGGGAGGGGAGGCTGGACCCACACACACAAAAGGGAAAAATGTTGACGGCTCGGTGAGACCGGGAGGGGCTTGCCGGAGATGTGGGAAAGAGGGCAAAGTGTCAAAGAAAGTTATTAAACCTGAAGGGGAGTTAAGGCTTTATTTCAAGATTCACTTCTCCCAGGGGGTGGAAAGAAGCAGGGCGAGAAGAAAAGGGAGAACCTCAGCCAGGATCCCTGAAGCTGAACTGGATCCCGAATTGTCCTTTTCTAAGGACAAATATGTTATAAACCGTTCTTTTTCTTTTGGAAGCTCCCTAAAATACTTCTTCTTTACTCGTTGCTCAGAGAGACGGAGCCCCAAATTTAATCCCACCCTCAATTTCCTCCCTGCACAGGCTTCCCAGAAGAGTTTCCAAATTCTTCATCCCCCTTGCCCTTGTAAAGTCCCAGTGAAATATTTAAGTTCTCTCTGCATTGCAAACATTGCAGCTGGGATTCTTTGCAGTCATGAGAATGCTCCAGGTTAATTCCCACATCAGATCTGCAATGGAACTGCCCACAGAAGACCCACGCCTTGGTGGGACCCAGCAGTGTGGGAATGGATCTTACCCACTGCGTCCCACAGATTTGCTTGATGTGACTGCACATTCAGGAACTTTTTTTAAAATTCACCTTCTTGTTTCCCAAGTACAATATAACGTAATCTACAACTGTTCTCCTTGTACACATGCATGCACACATGCATGCATGCACAGTAAGTTCAGATAAGGAAGGGAACCACACAAGCTCTGAAGAAGTCATTTCCCTTCCCAGCATGAAAGGGGTATGGTGATGTTTTGGAAAAAGGCAATACTTAAAAAAAAAAACATTATCTCAAAAAGATCTTTACAAATATAGTAAAATTTAGGCAAAGGAAGAGAGAGAGAGAGAGAGACCAAAAGAACATCCTCAAACTACAAGAAAAAGTGGAAATTAAGGAGACAGCTGCCAAGATAAGAAAGGACTGACGGAAGGCATGAAAAAGAAAACATGGCAAGAAAAGAACAGAAAGGAGGAAAAAGGAGGGAAGAGACAGGGGGAAATGCCTCCTCTGTTCTAATGAGTTTGCTTTGGCAAGGCCAGGGCAGGCGGGATCCTGAGCCGCACCGAGGTGCCGCAGGGGGAGCCGCCGCTGCTTGTCACAGCTGCCAAGATAAGAAAGGACTGACGGAAGGCATGAAAAAGAAAACATGGCAAGAAAAGAACAGAAAGGAGGAAAAAGGAGGGAAGAGACAGGGGGAAATGCCTCCTCTGTTCTAATGAGTTTGCTTTGGCAAGGCCAGGGCAGGCGGGATCCTGAGCCGCACCGAGGTGCCGCAGGGGGAGCCGCCGCTGCTTGTCACAGAGCCGGGTTTGCCAAATTCCTCCGCGGGGGGGNGGGGGGGGGAAGGCAGAGAATGAAGCCCGCTCCCACGTGCCTCTTCGGCAGCGGTGGCGGCGATTCTCTCCACCCGGCCTCACACCAGGTCACTCGCTCTCCTGCTCCCTCTTGCCTTCAAGAGCAAGAACGGCAGAGCAGAATATGAGAGAGGGCGTGTGGGTGTGGGTGAGTGTCTGTTGAGCCGGTGGGTCTGATACGATGGCCGAAGGCAGCGGAAGGAGCAGCAGTGCCCGAATACCCGTGTGCAAACACACATGGGCATGCGTATGCTAAGCCCGCGTGTTTTTCTAATGTACAGTAATAACATGTTAGACATCTTGGTAAACAAATTTGCAATGGATACATGGAAAAGAAAACAAGAGAAAGACAGGATGAGACAGGAAGGAAAGAATGAATATAATTTTTGGAGATGGCATTTAAGCTCCAGCATCACATATTTGATGATTTTTTACTTGCTTTTAAAGCAATCTATACTACCAATTGTTTCCACTTATTATTTTGACCTTGTTTTTTGTAAGCGATGGTTCCGTTGCACTGTTCAGTTGTTGCAATTTGTGCTTTAAATGATTTCAAATAACATATATTTATCCATTGCTATTTTCATCTCCTAAATAATATATAGGGATTGTTCTCATTTATTATATATGTCCAGGGCATCATTGACCGTTTTAATGGCATTGCAATGTCTCAGTCACATGCTTAGCAATTCCTGATGGAGTTTGTTCTACAACATGACACCTTACAGGGTGGAATCTAGGGGGCCAAGCCGGCATCCTATGGGTTTTGTCGAATGCCTTGTCTGTTGGAAGGGACTGGGAAGTCCAACCCATTCATGCGACTCTCACTAGCCCAGAACGCTGTGAGTCCAAAACAGACACAAACAGAGAGAGAGAGAGTGAGAGAGAGAGAGAGAGAGAGAGAGAGAGAGAGAAGTGTCTATGCAGCTGTATCTCTCTCACTGAGCTGCACATCCATGTGGCCGAGACACCTCTCAAACGAGGCTGCCTGAACCCTCCGAGGGTGACTGACCGGAAATGATGAGAGAAGAAATTGATTCCTCCTTTCCATGAGTCATGCTGGAGCCACCGCTATCCATTCAGTCCCACAACTGGGACTCAGCCCCTGAAAACTAACAGAGCTGCAAAGCCACAGCAGATGGACTTACCTGAGGTAGCTCCTCCGCTTAGCTTGGAGCCCACTTCGCTGCCCGGGGCCCGGAAGCTTTCATCTTTCGAGGCCGGCCCGTCCGAATCCCGGTCATCCAGGAAGCTCCCGTCTTGGGAGCCCTTCAAGGGCTCGGCTTCCTCCCCGTTGTCCTCCTCGTCGCTGCACCCCTTGGGCTGCACCATGTAGACGCCCTCGGGGGGGCCCTCGGCCCCCTCGGTGGCCTTCGCTTCCTTGATCTCGAGGCGGCCCAGGAGGGAGTCCTCGCTGTACTCTCCGTTCACCCACTTTTCGATCACCTCCCTCCGCTTGTCCTCTTCAATCTTCTGCACGCGGTTGACCGCTTCGGGAAACTCCGGCCCGGACTCCTTCGCCCCGGGCGGGGCGGCGAGGCCACCACCCGTGTTTTCCCGCCCCAGGATAGCCTTGTCGGGGTGTCCCTGCTTGGGCCCCTTGTGGTCAACCACCACCTGACGGCTGAGCTTGGCACAGATGGCATTTAGCTTCAGGCCACCTTTGCGCTTGGCAGCCATCTTGGGGTTTCCTGAGGTTGCGTCAGTGCATATAGTTCTTTCAGCTGGGGGAAGTGCATAAAGCGGAGAAAAAGAGAGAGAGAGAGAGAGAGAGATGTGTATTAGGAGGATATTACTGAATAAGAGATAAAAACTCTACATACACCAAACAGCTTTTACTGCAATCTGCTTCAACCCAGGGCTAATTCATAGGGCCAAAGCTGTGTCAGGATGACAGTGTTTATTTGTCCCCTGAATTCTCACCCAAGAGTTCAGGGGTGCATTATTCCAATTATGTCTACAACAACTCTGTGAGGTAGTATCTATGGCCAGGAGCTTATGACTCGGCTCAAATCAGGCAGTGAACATGGGCATCAACCACATTCCTCCCTATGTTGGGAAGTGCTATTCCACTGATTTTTATTTTTGAAGAATTTTCCAATATTGGCACATTATTTTCCCACAGGCAGGGTAGAAAGAATTTCAGGCTGAAATCTGGATGAGAAAAAAAATGTCTTAAAGAATTCCTCTGAGAGCAACTCTCCTCTGACTCTACGTCAAAGATTATTTTTTAAACTACATCCCCCAGAATATCTCAGACACCACAACCACTAGGATTTGGCAGAAGCAAGAGTTAAAAAAGTAACTAAAAAAGTAACTTCCAAGGTCTGAATCACATGACTCATACAGATGCTGCTGACCAACCATGTCCCCTCCCCATTAGGGCTCCTCATAGTACTTCTTCCCTCCCAGCCCTGCCGGATCTCTCCGGTTTGGAAAACAGTAACAGATTGCTATCTATCAGACCCCCCACCCCCGGGTGCATCCAGGAGCAACAGCGACACCCCCTAATCCTCTAATATGACAGCCCAACGCAAACAGCCTGAAACTTTAGACTCCCTGTCCGACCGCCAGAACGCGGCTGCTTTGCATTAGTGGCTGACAGCTTTGGGCACGCTCTCCGGCAGCGGCAAAGAAACCAAGGGACCCCAGGATGCCTGGTCAATGAACGCCGTCGGCAAAGTGGCAACCCTCGCTCGGTCGTTTTCCTATCCCCAGCAAACAGAGGAGCACACCGAAACCCTCTTCGGTTGTGAACCGCAACAGCCTTCAGGAATGGCGCAAATGTGCATGTATGGATATTTTATGTTTAGGCCTAAGCAGGCACTGCTCAGATCCCGAGTCACTTGCACAAGGCTTTAGAAAGTGCTTCTTCAGCTAGAGAAAAGTTGCCTTTTTCTTGCTCCAGGACCATCTGTAAAAATGCCTCTCTCCGTCTCTCTCTCTCTCTGTGTCTTGCGTTTATTCCTCTGGCCCTGAATCCAAGCATTAATTTCTCTTGTAGAGAGGAAGAGAGGCGACATGCTGGGCCCAATGATTGCAGCATTTGGGGAGATGCAAGGCAAAAGCTGACCGGAGGGAAGGGGGAAGGCAGGCCTGCCCGTTCTTCAAAGCGGCAGGGAGCAGGATCAAACCTCCCTGCTCTAAGTGGGAGGCCTGAAATCCACATCAAAACAAAGCCCTCGCTTTACTGTACTTTGTTCTTCTCACCTACAAGTACACGATTCCCAGATAGCAGCAAAACAAACACAACATACAGCTCACACACCTGTGTTATTTACACACCCACCCATGTTCTCAGGGAAGCAGCACACCCTGGACACACCCAAGCCCATCGAGGCGCTGCGCGCGCACACACACACACACACACACTCGCCTGCTCATGCTCCCATCTGCTTGTATAATATTGTCTCAGGGGGGAATCCAGGTCGTGGTTTCATCATCACACTTCCTTGGCCCAAGCAAATCTAGAAATCTCAGGCAAGCCTTTTAAACTCAGGGACAAGCCCTGCCCTCCACCACACTCCAGCCCCTACGGCAGGCAGGCCGTCTGGGAAGGGGGTCAAGCGGGGTCAAGGCAGGTGGGGCGGCCCTCTGAACCCAGCCCACCAGCCAGGTCAGCTTGAGAACTCAGGGACCCCTTTAAAATGGTGTGTGTGTGTGTGTGTGTGTGTGTGTGTGTGTGTGTGTGTGCACAACCACACGCTTTGGAGGGAGCGGCCTGGAAAAGCTCAGTGACAAAATCGCTTCGGACAGCGCCCTCAGAGGCAACCCGGCAGGCCACTGATGATTCAGCAAGGGGAGAGTTGCTCCCACCACCACCGCTAAATTCCCCCCCCCAGGTCCACACGGATCTCTTCTGCAGGCCAGGTCTTCCTTCACCAGCCAAATAACTGGAGGGGAGGATGTGTCATCTCCCATCAGCCCCCCTTCCCCCCCCCGACAACACCCTCTTGGCTCAGCACGCATGACTTTTTTCTGTCTCTTCCCTTCTCCCTCTCATCTCTCTCCTGCCACTCTCTCACTGCCCACCACAGCCCTGGCCCGGTCCATCCTTCTGCAACGTCTTCCCCATCACTCCCTGGGAAAGGCGTGCAGAAAGGGCCCAAAGAGCCAATAAATATGTGTCCAAAGCAAAAAGAATGGACAGCGAAGCTGCCAAAGCACTTCAAAGAGGCCACAGAGCAGCAAAGGCCCTTCCCCTTCCCTCCACCTGGTCCCAGCCCGCCCGGGTCATGTTCCGATGCACAACCCTGTTGCTTGACAGCTCCGAAACAGGAGGGCGTTTTAGAAGCTGCTGTTCTGGGAACAGAGGCCTTGGTCAGCTTCTAGCCCTGCCCTTTTGGGCACACAGTGCCATTAATGAGACTCTTTGGAAAAGACAATAATGCTGGAAAAGGTGAAGGCGGCAGGAAAAGAGGAAGACCAAGCACGAGATGGATTGACTCCCTAAAGGAAGTCACAGGCTTGAGTTTGCAAAAGCCAGGCAGGGCTGTTGAGGAGAGGACAAGCTGGAGATCGCTCATTCGTGGGGTCACCACACGTTGGAGGCAGCTTGAGCGCACACCCCAACAACACCATTCACGAGCACAGCTCTTTGCACAGCAGATTTTAATGATCCTCATCATAAGGAACTTGCAATCTGAAACTGAGATGCAAGAAAGAAAACACAGGGAAAAGGGACAACAGTGAAACAGTAAGGGATTGTGGTTGCACAGACTGGGTTCGTCACAAGGTAACAAATCCTGTTTGCGTATAGGAAACATTCCTGCCAAACGGCCAAGCCGGAGCCATCCTAAGGGAAATGGCTTAGGAAAGGGCCCCGTGGAAGTGCTTCACAACCGGCCGTTTCATGCTGACCGGGCTGCTTCCCGTTGGGCAGTTGTGAGGCATCAGGGGGTTAATTAGAAAGTTTTGAGGGGAATTTTAGGGTATTTTCTTTTTTAAAAAATGGAGGAAGAAACAGAAAAAAATTGCACCCCTTTGTCCCACTCGGAAGAGCGATCATCCCACTCCACCACCTGGAAAAGAGGAGGGCTCCTCTGCCCCTTCCCCCCCATGTCAGCTCAGCACCCCCC